TGCTCGTCCGCCGAGGCCCGTGGCATAAGCTGCATGAGGCACTGGCTCCAAAGTTCTGTCGTTCTCGCAATCTGATTCCTCCAAATCGCTATCACCACGTACTTCACTCACAATTCCCTAATCCATGCACGGTTCCGCAGTGTCGGCATCATCATCGGCCGCAACAGATGATGATGCCGCACCATCGCAACCATCGCAACAGATGTCCCACCCACTCTCCCAGGTCGAGGTCCACGACGCGCCGCCAGAAATCGCCGCCGCAGTTCGGAAGCTTCAGGCTTGGCATCGGGCCCGACGTCGACGAAGTCAGCTTCGCGAAAACAGTTTCACGCGCATGTATTCATCACCACCACCCACGAAACATTCACTATCTCCACAGCTGAATACCGGGACGCCCGAAGCGGCAAGTTTGCTGCCAAGTGGTCAACAGCTATGAGCAAGCGCTCCGCAACGCGGCATCTAACGCGCGGATTAAGCTCAAGCCTAGTGGTCACACATTCGACGTGTTGTTGAGCGGCAGGAAAAAGCGTGCTAGTCCTCCCGTCTGTCATCATGACCAAACACGCACACCAAAAGCGAGCATGACGTGCACACGCAACACACATGCCAGAACACGTGAAACAGCTCTGGGCTCGTTTCCAGTCAGAAAATGAAACTGATTTGAGCCAGCATGGCTGGTGTCGCGGAGCGGTGGAGACGGGTAAAGGGGTTGTGATCAAGAGAGGAGAGCAGATTTGCGAGAGAAGGGCAAGGAGTTGCGATAAAGAGAGGGGAGGATGCGGCGGGAGGGTGACCTTGAAAACCAAAACACACAGGAAGGAGGCAGGTTGGGTAGCTTGCTTGAAAGGTCCGCGAAACTCGCACGTTGAAAAACTTGAGTACCTGCACGCACAGAAGTCAAAACACGGCCGCCTGGATCGGTGCGCGCGGCGGTGTTCGAAGAATTGCCAACCGTGGTCAAAAAACCGTTTTGTTGCGACGGCGGGTTTTCCTGGCTCCATGAACTTCGATATTTCGCGATTCGTTCCGCACAAATTAAAAGCCGTTTTCGCGCTTCCGCACGAGCGCGGAAGGCATGCTGAGCTGAGTGTGAAGTGAGCGAGAACAAGTCCTAAACACGAAACGAATCGCAAACTTTGAGAGTTGGTGGGGTAGCGTATGCACGTACACTAGATGCAGACTATCGGATACAGATGGTGGCCGACGATGTTGGCAAATGGTCTGGTCACTCCAGACGGGCGACGCCAACGACAGTACCAGCGACCAAAAACAGGGTAGATAGCCGACCGATCTTCAAAAGATTGGTGGCAGTGTGAAAAGACTGGCCTCGTCTGGCGATGCGAGGTGCTCAGAGTAGCGGGGGGGACAAAGGGGTGCGTAACAAAAAGCAGTCGGGGCATGGAGGAAGGAAACAGCTTTCCTTCCTCCATGGGTCGGGGAGAGCGGAAACTAGAGGGTCGTGGAGGCAGGGTCAGCGTTTAACAATAAGAATGTATGGGCACCTCACTGATGCCTGATCAGTGGTCGAAAGTGGTTACCAGGGAAGTCGGCAGACCGCTGACTCCGTTCGATGAAACCGATCAGCGGCGCTCGAAGACGTTCGTTGTAAGTACAATTTTGTCCCATTGAACCAATGTATATTTTCACGGTCAAGCGGATATTGTTCGTTTTAAGTGAGGCCGTTATATGTGGGCTCAACTGTATAATCTTTCTTTAGTCATTATCATCATCGTCAGCCTGACCGCGCCTGCTGCAGGGCAAAGACCTCTCCATAATCCGCCAATCAACTCCGACTTGTGCTTTACGCTACCACGTTATACCTGCCAACCTTTTAATCTCATCGACGCACCTGACTTCTTGTCTCCCCTTTATGCGTTTGCGTTCTCTGGGAATTGAGTCAGTTACCCATAATGACCAGCGGATATCCTGCCAATGTGCAACGTGCCCAGCCCATATCTATTTCTTCTGCTTGATTTCAACTAAGATATCTTTAACCGCCGTTCATTCCCTGGCCCACTCTGCTCTTTTCCTGTCTGTTAAGGTTACACCTATCATTTTCCTTTTCATCGCTGGCTGCGTCGTCCCCAATTTAGCCTAAACCCTCTTTGTAAGTTTACAAGTTTCTGTTCTATAGATAAGACTAAAAGGCCTCCAAGATAAAGAGGTGTCTCGCTACTTTACCGCTGGGAGACAGGTGCTGCTCGAATCGCGCTTCCTACCCGCACCGCTGTGACATTTGCTCACATTGAAGAAACCCTGGTCGGTCGTTGGTTGCGCACCGATGACATTTTACTGGCGTTGTGTCGCGTTGCTGAAATGGGTGAAGTCACGACAACAGGCTGCGCCTCCCTCTGCCTATGGCTGAGAAGGGTGCAAGGTCGTGCAATAATTTGAAACATGGTGAAACGGATGTTCCAGCCTCTGTAACTTTCTTATCATACTGCTTGTTCGTGAGATACAGTAAACCCTCGTTAACTCGAACTCGCATATCTCAAAATCTCGATTAAGTCGAAACTTTTTTTCGCCGTGCATTAACCTCCCATAGGTGCTATGTATTTGCCCCCTCTTATCTCGAAACGTTTTCCGGAGGGAACAGTAAATATCTCGAAATCTTGACAGGGAGGGCAGAAGGCAAAGTCTACTCCCAACAGGGAACGAGGGCTCCGTGCGAACGCTTAGCTCTTACTATACGTGCCGAACGCAGTCGTGAAGGGCGAATTTGAAATTCCCGCGGACGCAGCCGTTTCCTATCAGCCTTGTCAGGCAACTGTGGGAGTGATCACGTGTGCGCACCTGCGCGCGACTTATGCGCGGTGGGCGGCGTGTGCAGCATGCGCCCGTCAGTACGCAACCTAGCCCTTGCATGTGCGAGCTGGTATTCTTTGTTTTCCTCGCGATCTGTGCACGACGCATCTTGAGCTCAGTTTTGCTGAGTAGTGAGTGGTCTGTGCAACGGACGCTTCCGAATATCGACCAAGATGTCCCGCCCAAAGCAGTTCAAATCTCTGACGTTGGAGAGAAAAGTCGCGCTAATCAAGGAAGTGGAAAAAGCAAGTCGAAGCAAGTCGTGCATCGCCAAAGAATTCGGCATCCCTTTGTCAACCCTCTCGACAGTGCTTAAGAACAAACAAAAGGTTTTAGAAGGCTTCGAGCAAAGCTTCTCAAGCAAGCGGAAGCGCATTCGAGCGTCCAAATTCCCGGACGTCGAAGCAGCACTTCTGTTGTGGCTCCAAAACGTTCGAGCAGCCAATCTTCCCGTGACAACCCAAATGATGATGGAGAAAGCAGACGCTTTGGCACTGCAGATGGGTCACGCGGATTTCAGTTGCAGCAATGGCTGGTTCGAGCGGTTTAAGACGCGAAATAACGTGTCATTGAAGCCTATCCACGGCGAAAGCGGCATTGTTGACGAACAGGCTGCAGACGCATGGCGCAAGCTACCCCTAGCCGAGCTGCAAAAGGAGTACGCGGACAAGGACATCTTTAACCTAAACGAAGCCGCTCTCTTTTACAAGATGCTGCCTAACCGCACATACACACCAAAAGGCGAAGCGTGCTCAGGGGCTAAGCAACGAAAAGACAGGATAACAATTCTTTTTGGTGCCAACGCTACCGGCGATGAAAAGCTGCCCCTCCTCATCATTGGCAAGTCACTGAATCCCAGGTGTTTCCGAAATGCACGGTTCCCGAGGGATGTGACCTACCGCGCAAATAAAACAGCCTGGATGACGGCGGCGCTTTTCGAAGAGCATGTCCGTGCGCTTGATCAGAAGATGGCAAAGGACGGTCGGAAAGTGTTGTTTGTTGTGGATAACTGCCCCGGCCACGGAAAAATCGACAACTTGGCGGCTGTTACGCTGGAGTTCCTGCCGGCGAACATGACGTCCGTTCTCCAGCCAATGGATCAGGGAGTCATTGAGATGGCCCGCAAGTATTATAGGAAAAGCCTGCTGCACCGAATTCTGCTGTCATACGACAATGGGAAAAAGTATGAAATCGATCTGCTGGGTGCAGTCAATCTGATGGCCGAAGCCTGGCGCCAACTACGCCCGCTGGCGATTGCTAACTGCTTCGCACATGCAGGGTTTTCTCGCGCTCCGGAATCGATCGAAGAAGACATTGGCGCAGAATTCAGCGGCTGTGATGAGCTGTGCAATGAAGTGCGCAAGGCAACTGGCTGCGTGAGCGATACTGAAGATGGCGAGATCGCCTTTGAGGAGTATGCGCTCTACGAGGCCGACGTCCCCGTTACCGGAATGCTGTCGGACGCCGATATCGTTGAGATGGCCGTGAACGACGCAGATGACCATGCAGATGAGGAAGAGCCTCGAGAAGTGCCTACGACGACAAAAACACGTAACATGCTGTGCTTGCTCCGCAACAAGGTCGAATGCAGCGGTGGCGACCAACTGCTCATGCGATGTGTTGAGCAACTGGAGAACGCCTTTCTCGGACCGAACGCTAAAGCGAAACAGGCGAGCATCACGCAATTTTTTGGTCCTCGGTAATAAATTTTTTTCCCCTCCGAATTCTTGTGCCTTTACTACGGTAGCTGTTTTGTGCAGTGGAGCTTTTCCTAGCAGCACTGGCTTTTCTTTTACAGTGACCTGGGCGAACATTTTCGGCGTTTTGCTTAACTCGAAATACCGCCTATCTCGAAATTTTCCCCGGATTTGATGGCTTCGAGTTAACGAAGGATAACTGTACTTGCGGCAGCATTTTTATATCACAAAAGCGCTTATATTTTTATTCACTAAAAATTTGGACCTCAGAGGTTTTTTTTTTTTTTTTTTACTGACCCTTTAAACAGAACATCAAGGGACCCGGACAATGTTTTCTGCTCAACAAGGGTTCTGTTTACTGAGAGATGAACGAAGGTGGAGAATCCAAGTGTGAAACCAATCGTGCTGCAGGCAGTTCCATATAACAGATTTTCATTTACCGAGAGTCTATACTAAATAATCCACAAAAAAATGCAATGTTTTAACGGTGAAACGTACGTGAAGGAAAGCTGCAGCTACGCAGGAGCCTCCAGCACCAGCCTGTTTGGAGATGTTGTTGATGTCCGCAACAGTGGACTTGGTCATCTGCTTGTGGTACAGGTCAAACAGGGGCATGCGCCACACACGGTCACCGGTCACACTGCCAGCCTGCACAGCGAGAAAGCAATAATGTCTGTTGGGTCAGTTGGTACATATTTGTTCTGTTCCAGAAAACAGCTAATTAAAAACGAGGACAAAAACATGAAGACATCCTTTTGTCCTCAATTTAAGCAAGCTGTTTCCAAAGAGATAGGAGATATGAGCCCACTTTACCTATCACAACCGCAAGTGCCGAGGTGACAGAACATCAAGGAACCTGGACAATGTTTTCTGCTCAACAGGGGTTTAAGTGACAACGCTGTAGCATTCTGAAAATGGCGTGAGCATTCCAAATGGCATCCATAGAGAAATGATTGCTATAGAAGCACTACATACACTAAAGCAACACAAGCACAGGGACGCAGTAAGAAAAAAAAAAAAACATCACGAAATCCTGCACTTGTCAAGAACTATACAAACGAATATGCAATATTTTTAGACATTCACTTGAATGCTACACAAGTTACCGTATTTACTCGATTCTACCGCGCCCTCGATTGTAACGTGCACCCGATTTCCACAGCGAAAAAAAAAAAAAAACGTAAGACATCGATTGCAACGCGCACCCATTTTCATCGTTGGCCCGCACGATCACACGACTCGAAAAAACGACTCCTTTCGGGAGCGTCTTCCATTTAAATATGAGGTACGGCCGAAGCTTGTGCCCATCTGACATATAACAGAGCGTTGCCGTCACTGTAGTTTTACCGTGGACCGATGTCAGCACGCGAACTTGCTTCGCCCCCTTCTTCTCGACGGTTGTGGTGCCAGGCATGTCGAAGTAAAGAGGTGTCTGATCGGCATTCCCGAATTGCCCAAGCAGCTAGCCGTTGTTGCGCCGCAAGTTTAGGACGAACCTCAGAAAACTGTGAAGCTTTTCATCGTACTCCTCCGCAAAACTTTTTTCATATGCATGTTCCCCTTTGGAGGGAAAAGCCTTTCCTCTTCATAAAGTTAGTTAGCCAGCACCTGCTCGCTTTAAACTGGCTCCGCATCAGACCGTTTTCTAAGACTAATTGCATAGCCCGCACTTGGAGCAGTTCTGTTGTCACGGGCCGCTGTGCCGCTCGCTGCTCAAGCACATACTCGCCGAGCAGCTCTTTAATTTGCGGAAACCGACCCTGCTGTGGTCTACTGAAGCCTTGGCAAGGTTCCTTTTGGCGTTGCATAAGTTTGTTGCCAGACTTTGGGGTGGTTGTTGCCAGACTGCCGCTAAATTTGGCGGAAAAGTTTTATTCTTAATAGAAGCCACAACTTATTCTTATTATTCTTATTTCTTATTATTTTATTCTTATTAGAAGCCACAACTACAGAAGAAAACTTTTCAGCCAAATTTAGCAGCAGTTTGGCAACAACCACCCTTCCAGTCTGGCAACCACTTATGCAACGCCAAAAGGAACCTTGCCGAAGCCTTTGCGTGAAGCTTTGCTGTCGACAATCTTCTGCTTTTGTTTCCGCCGGTCCCGCATGCACGTTTCGGGAACTCCGAACAACCGCGATGCGGCCCGATTTCCGTTCGTTTCTGCACACGCGATGACTTTTCTTTTAAAAGCAGCATCGTGGTGCACTCGAGTTTTTGGAGTCGGCCCTTCCACGCCGACGATGCTAATGCACTACTAGATGACGAACTCCTCAGCACACGTACGAAGCGCCGCACATGGGAAACACACAGGCAGAAATGGCCGACGCGCCATGCCGACGCACGTAGGGGGCGGCCATTTTGGATTCGCCGATGGCAATAGATTGACCGTAATTTTTTTGTTCGTACTCGATTCTAACGCGCATGCGATTTATGAACTCGCTTTACCGGAAAAAAGGTGCGCGTTAGATTCGAGTAATTACGGTAATGCTGAAATCGCTCATAGCAGTCAACTAGCCTAATCAGCTCTCCTTTCAGCTTTTAAACTGCATATTTACAGCTAAACACTCAAGGACAGGTTCTAACCAAGGTAGTGAAACTTATTTTTGGCAAAAAGCACTTTTAATCAGATTGTCCTCAAGTGCAGCTTCTCAAGAGCTTTTATGCAAATCCCGCAGCCCTCAAGTTTTCACCAGAATTATTCAACATCAATTACCTTTTTAACATCACATTGCTTTAAGAGGGGACGCGGCTTTGGGATCGCGAAAAATGGCAAAAAAATCGATTTTTTGAAAGTCAAGTTTTCAGTTTCTGGAACCCTTTTCCTATCTGGTTCCAAAATATCTACACTGAAAATCGCGCAGAAGTGCTTCGGAAAATTCGTTTCACCCACCTAGGTAGCAAAACTTTTTCTGGAAATGGCGAGAAAACGGCGATTTTCAAAAAATTATAACTTCGCGATGCTTGGGCCGGGAGCCGGCTTCTTGGGCTCATCGGAAAGAGTATTTCTCCGTGTTTAACTTTCCCGCCTCAGCTGGCTCCTCCCTTTAACAACAAGCGAGCAAAAAGCAAATGTTTGAAGGTCGTTTTGAGGCCCTTGATTGGCCGTGGCCGCCATGTTGCCTCAGCTCGCCTCGCCATTGGCCCGATGCTCGCTCCGAAAGATCGTCGTCTGCTGCTTGTGCGTCGCGAAAACATGGCTCTAGAAAATCGCCACTTCGTGACGTGTTCACGACTTGATAATCACTTAAGATATAACTACGCCTTAGTTACGAGCAGTAAGCGGATGCGCGATCAGGTTACTACGAGCGAGAGCGCAGTCTTCGAGCGCCGCGCGTCATTGGAGTCATCTTTAGCCCTAACTCCGCCGGCAGCGAGACTGCGGGCAGGAACGACGCACTAGCGCATTCGTGGCGACGTGCTTCTTCGCAAGCAACAAAGCTGTAAGTGGCGGCACGATCTGATTACTACGAGTGGCCGCACCGGATGCACGATCAGATTACTACGAGCGAGCGCGCGGCGGTCTACGAGTGCCGCGCATCATCGGAGTCGGCTTTAGGCCTAACTCCGCTGACAGCGAGACTGCGGGCAGGAACCACGCGCAAGCGCACTCTTGGCGAGGTGCTTCTTCGCAAGGAATGTACCACATCACTCGCTAGTTCCTCTGAATCTCGTACGGGCATTTTACGCATCGGCAGCGGACAACACAGTCAAGCTCGTCACCCCCCCTTTACTGCCAAGGATCGCTCGGAACAGCGGCTAGCAGTTCCGCGCATGGTCATTCGAAAATGCTACGCCAAGTGCAGCGCGTGCCGATTTTTCGTCTTCGTAGTTACACATTTCATGCATCGTCATCGAACGCCACCGGCAAGTGCATTACGCGCCGGCTGCACGGTCCACGCGGCCGCGCACCCCACGGTCATATGGAGTGCTGTCAGTAAGCTTCTGTGATGCCATTCAGACGTGCTTGGAGCCGTGCATGATATCGCCACGGACGTCTATGAATGTTCCAAGGTTAATGAATTGCTGTAGATTAGAGTTTCCGCGGCCGGCTGTATGATGATGCGTTTCACGGCTACAGCAGCGAAAGAGCATGTGTGAATCAGGGGCACGGATTTTTATATGCCCTTTTCGTGTCATCAATTATACTGCTAGAAATTCCCGTGCCACCAGTCTTCTGCCCATAAGTTTGTTATTTAGAAAGAAGGCATAGGCCGTCATGGTGTGATCTATTTTTCTGATGCAATAAACCTCTCTCCAAATAAAAAAAAGTTTAGTGAATATTTGTAATCAAGTACTTAATTACGCTAATTACAACTTCAGCACAAAAAAAGTATGTGTAATAATTTCAGTATATGATTTTATTCAATTACAATCTTTTCTGTCATACCTATCACACCACTCCTTCATACAAAGAACTTGGTTTGAAATCCATACTTGTTCTTTGTAACTCATGAAAAGAAGTAAATCATGAAAAGAAGTCAAATATCACAAGACAAACCTGAGATCACAATTTTTAGGTGTCTTAGAGACGTAAAGAAAAGTTGAAACTTTAAACGCAGCTTTCTCAATACTGTTTTTTTGACATTATGCTCAGCCCCTCCACATGGTTCAATGAAAAAATAATTTGTTTCTCGTAAAGTGTTTGTGGTATCGCTTCAAAATTTTTATGGAAGCATTGTGAGGTTATTCTTAGTGTCTGCGCCAATTTTTATCAATATACAATGAGAAACAAAAAAGTTCACTGAAAAAAGCCTGTCGAAAACTTCGACAGGCTTTTTCTCACAAGTGTGTTTTGGACATTGTGCATTGCTCGTGGAAAGAGTAGCACGAGAATGACTGGACCGATTCTGAGTCTGTTTTCTTTCCCTGAATCCCTGAACACTGTTTGTGGGTACAGCAATCTTCAATTTCTGTTTTGTGGCCCTGTTATTTTTCTAGACAATGATTTGTCCGTGCCATTGTTTCTGACAATGTGTGTCGGCAGCCATGATGATCTCTAAAAAAAAACGAGAACTTATTAAAAAATAAGCCATCCACATTTAAGAATGAAAACAAAGAAAATTCTATGGTTGCAAGTGAGAACATACTGTTTGGAGCTTCTCACATAGATACTGTGTTGAACAATCGCCACAACTGACTGTGGTTTAATCCTCCACTCTACTCATTAATTGCTAGAGGTGTGAGAACTGAATGACAATTTCTTTTAAATTTAGAAGGACTTTGGGCTCAGCAATTCTTGTTTTACAAGTTCACAAGAAATAAAACTATTTTAAAAATGAACGCTATGAAGGGGGTGTGGTCAGTGATAAATCTAAACATGACGAATTTATTCAGGGCAGCCACGAGAGAGATGAGTTGTTTGTTGAAATGTTGGCTTTAGCGATGCCACGCGTTCCCGAATTTTTCACCTAAATATGGTGTCAAGATGCAATGGGTGGGTATGAGCCTCATGCTACTAACATGGTTGGGGAATAAGATGACAGATGTCAACTGACTTGTGAGATAGGAGGAGTGCAAGCATTTTTTTGTGGGGGAGGGGGAGAAAGTCGATGAGAAACTTCAGAACCAGCTGTGCCTGCGCTGAGCATGCTAAATCACTTGGGAATATCAACAGGCTGGGGAGACTTATTTTACCTCTTATTGCAACACTAGCTTCTGCTGTTGCCGTCATGCACTCCAAGGCGCATGAGGTAAGATGCCCCCCTTCCCCTTCCCCTTAATTTAGAACAGCCTGCTGTCAAATGCTCAACAGAGAGGAAATGCCCTGCCCATCTTCATCTAGCATCAAAAAACGCGAGGGTGTGGGGTCCCTCTAACAGCAACTGCGACCTTTGACTTTACGAGCACAGTGGTTGCTGGCACACGTGCTATCTCGCAATCTCAGCAGCCTTCAGTGCGAAGAGAATGTGCAAAGAGTGTTACAATTTTTGATACTTCGAGTTGTCAAAAAGCTCGTAAATACTGTGGCATGTAATGCTGTGACATTGGTGAATCATAAAATGTATAGGTTCGCTACAGCTTTTCTTTTCTTTTGCTCTCACCTCGTGCAACAGATTCCAGAGGGCATTGGAAGTGCAGAAGACGCCAGTTGCACCAGCACCCAGTGCAACCACCATGGCACCTGCACAAGGCACACATTAAAGCACAGTAATGTTCTACTGCTATTGATGTAGCATTCACAAAATGTGGCTGAACTAATCCGCGTCAAGTTTTATGCTTGTCTGTTTTCTTTATCAGGCATGGTGAGCTAACCCAGGGTGTCTACCAATTTCATATTTCTGAATTCCCTGACTTTTCCAGGTTTTTCATGATAATTAAAAGCAAGTTCCACGATTGCCACGTCTGCTTGGAAAACTCTGTGCACTGGAAGGAAACCCCCGAGTGGCAAAACAAAATTAGGCACTCCATCTAAAATAAGTATACATATTAGGCGCACTCAAAAGTTTCTGAACGCGTGCGGTAAATCTAAAGAAGATATGTATATCTGGCCAAAATAAATCCCCTGAGCGAGTCAGGCACTGAGCAAGTCAGCTGTTTAATGTTCGGAAGGACCTCGAAGCAAACACACCACTTAAAAGTAGCCACAGGTGGAAGTTTGAAGGAGCCTGCGATAGTCCAACATTGTAGTCAAAGCTGCTAGGAAACATAAAAGTGGTGCCATCTCGCAGCATCCATGCAAAATGAGGACACAGAAGCCTGGCCAGTTCTGCCACTATGGTATAATCTAGTTTACTATAATGGCTATAGCCCACGCCGCTTAGGATGTGGATTGGATTGCATTGAATTAAATCGACCTGAACTGCTGTGTTTATTGACTCAACTATTAGGATGTGGATTGGATTAGGTCACGCTCGACCTGGATTGCTGTATTTACTGTTAATTTGCGTCCCCGCCTAACTTGCACATCTCTATAATATACTTTTCTGAAAAAAAAAAAATAAATAACTACTACTCGCGTATTCTGTGTGCCTTGCCTTGACAACGAGTAATAACATCGTTGCAAGAATAGAGCCGCACTGCAAAATTTTCCTTCTTTCCTTTTCCGTCGAGCACATTCATGTTTGTATTTTTTGTCTCTGGGCTCTGAAGCTTGAAGTGCAACAGAAGTCCTCGGACTGTTGCAATGAAAGCTGGGGACGCATTTTAAAATGCCAATGTTTGAATATGTGGTGGCAAGAGGGAATCTGTCAAGGTGCAACAACTACCTTGATTCCATAGATGAATCACGGATGTCGGTATGTTACCTTGATTTACATACTTTTTTGTAGATATCCCACTAAAAATGATTGCAGATATATTTTTACAATATCTCACGAAACTGAAATAAGAAATTTATGAGGTTACAAGTGCTACCCTTGAAACAAGAGCTACCAGCAGTAAGTGTGTAACTAAGGACGTTTGCTACTGTATCACAAATAATAATAATAATAATAATAATAATAATAATAATAATAATAATAATAATAATAATAATAATAATAATAATAATAATAATAACTCAAACTGAGCCAAAATCACGGCCTAGACAAACATGCATAAGTTTACAGATGTGAGTAATGTTGTGCTTTGAAAGTCAGATATGCCATGCAATATGTACAAGCAACACACATCAAAATAGTGCATGTACTAACGTGGAACCTAAGAAATGCTTTAGCCAATGTGAAGGACAAGTTGCCGAGCAGGGATTTCCTCAGTCTTGTTTATGCCATAGGCTACCACAATTGTGACAACAAGCACATCAGTGAAGCTGGTGATTGCAAGAAAAGAATTAAACAACAGAAGTATGATGCCAAGAAACAACGCGTGGCCTCGACTGCCCTCGCTGAACATGCAAGATCCACAGACAACCAAATAGACTGGCCAAACACGTGTTCTGGAAAAAAAAAACTGCATGTTCCCACGGGCGGGACTCGAATGAATGCGTTACTGAGTGGTGGGGGTATCACGTGAATGCTACATAATTGGGTATGATTTGGGAAAGCTTAATTGTTATTTCGTCTTTAATATTAGTATTTATTGAATGAAGAAAAAGCGTTGCCTTCAACGAGTGGTGGGACACTGATGTTGGGTTGTGCTCCACTACTGGTTGAAGACACTGTTGCTTTCATCGCATCTACTCCAGTAAGCAAAGTCAAGTGAAAGCCACGTAAATACGCCCTTGACTGAATTCTGAATGACCAATCCAGTGCCTACATATACGGGGTGGTCAGTGAACGGCTGTGCAGCGCGAACAGTCAGACTTTACTAGTAGACGCTGCCTGCGTCAGCCTCGCACAGCGAGAGAGGGGTGGGGGGGGGCGACAGTTGGCCCGAGGCGCGAGCATGTAGCACGAGACGCGAGAGGCAAGCATGTGCAGTAGGATGTAGACACCACCGCCAACGCCTGATTTGCAAGTAGGTGTGACTATAAAATTCTCCGCATTTAAAATAAGCTTGCATCATGCCGGTACCTAGAATCCAGATAGAAACGACTGTACATACGCTGGACAGGAGTGATGGGACACATCTGACAATGTACTCTCGCTGCTTAAATCACGTATTTAGGCGTACTTAGGTACGCCGTGCCTTTCTTCAGGCTTTTATTGTGAACAAGGCTCTTCCCATATCGGTTGCCGAAACTTTAGTAAATTTTGTGTTCTGTGGGTCGGTGTATCCTTTCGCGTTTAGACTAAGAAGTCACAGCTGTCTTTTTTTTTCTTTTTCATACCTCTTCTAGCAGCTCACTGTAGTTGCAGTTGGAAGAGCGACATTGCAAGCTATGATCAATGATTATGCTTATTTTTGTGACGGCCACACAGAACTGCTGTCATCATCATCATCAGCAGCAGCAGCAGCAGCAGCAGTATAACTACACCTATGGCAGGGCAAAGGCCTCTTCCATGTTCCACCAACGAACCCGGTCATGTGCTCTGTGCTGTGATTTTATAACTGCAAACTTCTTAATTAAGGGAAGATGCAAGTCAAAAAATGCAAGTTTTTTTCTAAAATTACATATTTTTTGTTTATTTTTGCATTCACAGGTTTCTTTCTTTACTTTCACGAGGAAAAAAAAGTGAAGATAGTAATTAAACTAGAAGTAGGTTAAAATCGCTTTAAAGAGCACAAGGTGGCCACCAAAAACTAAAAAGAGCTCACTCATTGTTTTGAGTCTCCTGAAAATTGTCACTTGGCTGCTTGCCATTGCATCTCACATAAGCAGTTCACCAAAGCCACATGCTCCAAACAACCACCATCATTCCCAAGCTCTCATGATAGAACCAATCATTTTAGAAACATTTTTACTAGATAGGTGAGCGTTCACTTATACCTTTAAAATGCATTTTTCTCAAGATCAATTTTGGCCTAACTTCATGACCTTGAAAACCATACTTTTGGTACTTCTAGTAGCCAGATCAGCATATAATTCTGCCCATGCTCAGCATGTGAAGCATGCAAGTATCCTTTTGAGAACTTGATATCCCCTATATAATTACTACAAACCTGAAGTAAGCCATTCATATGGGGGAGCATTTTCAAACTTCCCACATTACAATTTTTCTCGTGCATTAAAATGGCTTATATGCATTTTTCCTATATTATTTGCATTTTACATTTATTATAGAGCAATATGAGCCATTCGTGGCTCAGAACCATAAAAGTTGACAGGCCGAAAAAGTTTGTCAAATGAAGTATATTTTACGCATTGTCATGGTACAAAGCAAAAACCATGAAACTTACTAAAAAACTGATTACATATTTCAAATGAGCATAAAAGCCTATATATACAGCAAAGATTTCATTTTCATTGCCTTAGGCTACAGATTAGACAAGCTGTTTTTTGTAGTTGCATCTACCCTTAATCTCATCTGCACACCTACTTTTTTGCTTGCCCACCTATTTTTCACCCTTAATGAACAGCGGTTATCCGGACTACATGCAACACGCCCGGCCCAGGTCCATTTCTTCTTCATGATTTTTTCACAGGGTTACATCTATCATTTTCCTTTCACTCGCTGCATCATCCTTCATTTAAGCTGAACTCTCTCTCTGAAATATCCCACGTTCCTGCTCCGAAGGTATATGCCGGCAAGATGCCCCTGTTATAGTTATTCCTTCCTCTTTAGTGTTACTGGCAAATTACTATTCATGACTTGAGAATGCTTGCCAAATGTGATCAACCCCATTCCTATTTTCTAGTTATTTCGCTGCCATGGTTCAGCTCCGCGGTTACTACCTGTCCTAAGTAGACGTATTCCTTTACAACTTCCAGCGTCTCTCCACCTATCGTAAAGTGCTGTTTTCTGCCGAGACTGTTGCGCATTACTTGCATTTTGTGCATATTAATTTTTTAAAACCGACTTTTCTGCTTTCCGTGTTCAGTTCCGTAATAATGAGCTGTATTTCATTCCCCAAGTTACTCATCAAGGCATTGTCATCAGCGAATCGCAGGTTACTAAGATACTCTCCGTTAACTCTTATCACCAACTCTTCCCAATCTAAGGCCCTGAAAGCGGGTCAATGCATAGTAAACTTGATGTTCTGTGTGAAATTCAAGCAAACAAGTATTTGGTCAAATCATTTTAGATTGAATACTGTATTTACTCACATAATGAACCCCCCGCTCATTTTTTTTTTTTTTTTTTTTTTTTTTGAAGAGTTGACCCAATTTGGAGAGAGGGTTCATTATGCAGGCAAAAAAAGTTACGCGAGTTGGGAAAATTTCGCGCGACGATTTTGCTTGTCTTGGTCTGCGAAATATGCGGCGAATCTTTTTCGTAGCCCCAAGCTTTCCTTGCTTTCTACCGTAATGAACGCCCACGGATGGATGCCGAAGTGTCATCCAGGCAGTCGGTTCCCATGCTCCAGCACATGCTTCACCAACCATTAGGTTTAAAGGGGCCCTGCAACACTTTTCTGAGCATGATCATAAAATGCTGCCGATTGGTAGTCGAGGCGATAAAGAACACGTTAGCCAAATATTACAGCGCAGAACGCGGCCTGGACTTCGCAATAAATTATCAAAGTCAGGTAAAAACTGCTTTCTCTTCTTCCGTCAAATCACGTAAGACGCTCAAAAATGACTCTCAAAAGGTACATCTATCAGCTATTGGTTGATATGGAAATGGCGCGCTTGGTCGTTAGAGATCGCAGCGGGAGGCCGTGACTTGTCCATGCGTGCACATGCGATTATACAGAAAAAGCCACGTATTTGATAAAAAAAGAGAAAAAAGTGCTCAAGTCATGAGGCGAGCATGACGTATTTTCTTTGCCCCTGCCAACTCTCCTTGCTTAGCCTTCAGGGCTTTTGTTGGACTGAGTGAAGAGAGAATGCAATCGCAGCATGCAACAAATCTCTGTAACTCTGCTTATACTGGGTGAATTTCTAAAATTTTTGCACCGCTGATTTCGTGAGGCGATGGGCTTTTCCCGTAAATCCATTCCATGGTTACTTAAAAAAATGTTTCAGGGCCCCTTTAAAAACACCCATGTAGAAAGCATACCGGCTGAATGCGCCTTGCGCAGCAGGTGTCTCCTAACTAAGTTGACTAAGACAAACCTAACAACTAAAATGCAACGTCGGGGCAGTTGCACTTTGCGTGGCTTCTAAGAAGGCAGGCGCGTGGCGCATTTCTACATGGCGCGCCCACCATCTCAAAGGCCATACAAAGTGCAACCGTCCCGACGTTGCGTTTTTGTTGTCAGGTTTGTTATCTTGTTGCTATGCTTGCGTGGTGCTGTAAGCAAAGCGGTTTCTTCTCCATTAGACAGATTGCGCTCTGCCTCAATAGGCGCTACTTTTTGATTTCGATTGACCTCATTCGAACTTGCGCTGCTCGGAACTCTTTAACACAGCTGTTAAACTATGTTTGAACTTTTCTTGCGCCATTATTTTGTGATATAACGGCTTGATTTTACGTTGTTTCGATCATCAATAGCACTGACTATCGTACCGAAATAAAATGAATAGATGCATTAAAAAGATTTTTTTTCTTTTTCTTTCAATTATGCGAGTGGGTTCATTACGTGAGTAAATTTGGTAAATTCACAGCAGCAAGTCAAAACATCCCACCTGTCAGGGTGGCAATGTCCACAACTACTTTGGGGTTGAATGTGTCCGCGTAGCACAGAGCGTCAGCCAAGATGAGCCGTCCTTCAGCGTCAGTGTTGTCCACCTGTACGTACAAAATTAGAACAGATAATTGGAGTGACAAATAAAAGGACTGAATGTGCAATGGCATTAGTGCTCACTACAGCTGGCCACTGACCAAGCAGCCTTATGTATTTCATTGAGCACAGCATAAACCGAACATGACATATAATCCCACCTGGCATAACGATTTCCGTTTGATAAAGGCTGCCGATTGAACTTTTCGCCCCCAGAGCTCTGCCCGTGCACTTTATCACCAAGTTCAGCAATTCACGAAAACAGAGAACAAGGAGGTGCTACACTTAACCCTCAGTATGATTAAAAGTTGTATCTTACACAAAAATAAATACATAATATCCAAAAATTTGTGATAATAGTGTAACCCTAACACTATGTCCATTTGAAGAGTATTCTTCACTTACTTTGTTATAACCAATATTTTGTTATATCCAGGTTCGTTATATCGAGCTTTGAGTGCATTTGAACTGCTGGATGTAAGCTGTTCTTGTTTGCCAGAACAGTCATGACAAATATGTCAATTTTAAAGAAATCGGAAGTTATTCGGGCAAGATCACTATTCGCTTAGTATTCTCGTTGAACCTAAAATTGATGATGATGTGTGGTGCTTCATGGCGCAAGGGCTATTTGTCGGCCAAAGAGCGCCAGGTCGTGTGACAAAAGATGCGAATAATGGTTATGATAGCTGGCTGTATAAGGGCCTTAAAATTCATCGTGCTAACGTGGGTAGAAATATGGAAGTATTAAAACCATGACAGTGACCCGAAACGTGTAGTGAGAATGAATGGCGAAAGATCATAATAAAAGCATGGTGGATATGTAGCCACCACATTAGTGACCTCAGTTCGGTGGTCATGCTGTGGATGGCCTGGGTATATGACATGAAAAATACCTACCTCTCTTTAAAATTGTAGCAGTGATTTAGGTAAAAAAGTGGTTCCTTACGGACAAACATTGCATAGTGAAGTGGAAATTGTTGCTGGTAGTGTAATGGAAAGTGTTGTTTTCTTAGCATGTTTAATAACATGCAGTTTACAGTGAAAGCTCGTTATTTCGAACTTCAATAACTTGAATTTATAGTTAATTCGAACTGTAAGTTATGGTCCGGTTAAGCTCCATACAAGCCTACGAATAAAAAAGCCCGTTAATTTGAACGCGAGTAGGTTCCGCCATGGATAATTCGAATTATGTGCCACCGCGCCGGTGGCTTGGCTAGTCACTCGATAGGGCAGCTGCCGCCGAGTTACGAGGTGGCGTTGACAAGGAGCAAAGAGAAAAACGGAGAAAGTGGCACAGAGGCCAGAGTGCAGAAAATAGCGCCACTTACTCTTCACGCCCCTCCCCCCACAATCTCTCTCTCTCGGTGGCTGCCTGCTCTCTGTCCTACGTAACTTTCAAGATTAGTTTTTTTTTTTAAGCGCCAATCTCAGAGCCTTTGAAAATCCTGCGCAATTGTCGCTGTTAGGCGACAGATGGCAGATGGCACCAGCACACGGGTTCGTCGTAGCTTTGCCCAGCCTTCTCTGCAGTCTATGTCTCGGGCGTGCGTCATACACCTCGGTTGTTAATTCTGAGAGTAGCTTCCGACTGTCGCAATTCTTTGTGTTGGTGTTAGGCCTTGGCTAACGATTGTTGCGGTAGCGCCAGTAGTAGCTTCCCGTCTGTCGCGATTCTGCTGCTCCGACTTGATGGCGTGTGCCCGCGGCAAATACCGTGCCCAAACACTTCCTTTCAGCAAACACGACAAGCTGGCCTTCCTTCTAGCAAACACGACAGCGATACTGCAGCTTATGGAACAGGGTATAATTATAAATTTAAAATCATTTTATCGGCGTATTAAGTTGGAACAAATTATTTTGAGCAATAACTACCAAGTGACGCTCTTAAGTGCACTACACATGCTTGTGCGTGCTTGGGAGCAAGTGACAGCGCTGGCGATAGCAAATTACTTTCACCACTGTGGCTTCAGCACCGAAGCTCTGCAAGCTGACGAGCCACCAGTGCTCGAACACGGCGTCACCGCCCCCATGGCGGACGTTTTGGAAGACGTCTGCTTTGCGGACTACGTCGATGAGGACTCAAGTGCAGTGGTGTGTGGTGCACTCATGGATGGCGACATAATATGTCAGGTAAGAAGTGCAGAACCTGTCGCTGCCAGCGACAATGATGAGGAGGAGGACGAAGCACCAGTGTGGCCCTCTGCTGCGGAAGTCATGGCCGGATTGAATGCCGCCCGTCTTTTCTTAAGTTTTGAAGAAGGTGGAGAAGAGGCCTTCCGCCAAATTCGCTCGTTAGAGCAAAAAGTGCTCGCTGTCGCCTTCAAGGAAAGAAGGCAAACCGCGATCACAGATTTTTCAAAAAATAAATTGTTATGCCCTACTCGCAGTGTAATATTGTTGTTCTTCACTTTCGTTAGCTCAAACTTTCGTTAATTCGAACTGAGGTGGATTCCCCTTGCAGTTCGAATTAACAAGCTTTTACTGTATTATGCGTGTGTCTGTCCCCCGTGCTCTGCCAATAGGCCCCAAGCTTTTGTTTTTTAAAAAGTTTCAAGTCAAGCGCATGGATCGCTATTGATCTATTGGCAGCTGTTTCATTGGCGGTTGTAGCTAAGTGGTCCGCCAAAACATTAACTTGTATCTCACTGTGCCCTGGCACCCAATAAACTACGACATGTGTATTGAGTGTGTACACTATGCACAGGACTGAGTAAAGGGAGATAAGAATGGGGTTTGTTTGCCTTTTGAGTGTCTTGAGGGCTGCCACTATGCTCAAGGAATTTGAGTGTGGTGACAATGAATTTTATGCTGCTCGGCTGCAGAACTGCAAAACATTGGTTCAATCAGGGCAGTAGCATTTACATGGAGGCGCAACACTAGAGGCTTGTGTGCTGTGCAATGTCAGAGCAGGTCCCCAAGTCGCATTGTTAAACCCCACCAAACAGACGAGACAGTGCATGCATCTTTTGCGACCGGCATCAAGTTTTCTTTGCTTGGCGTCATGAAGCCACTAACTGTGCCTTCCCAATGGTCAGCGGAGGCAATTGCCAAATGCCAATATGCTGACTATGTTACCATAGCCTAAACACAATCAAATCTGCTCGTCCCCAAGCACAGCATGAAGAATGGCATTATTGAGAATTTGTTTAGGCTTCACTAATGCAAATAAACTTATTTTCATGTCTTGACCATTTTTTTGGACTATTGCACAGTCTTTGTAAGGTCTAGAAAATCGGTTAGCGACTGTATAGAGATAACAAATTTCATATGCCAGTAATTTGTGAGTTCCAACAAAGGCATCTTCACTTTCTTGGTGCGAGAGGTGCCAAAAGTAATTTCGAGTGATGAAATAAATATACAAATCCATGTTTCACAAAAAAAAGCAGGGTTCGTTTTAGCCAATACTACAATGAACAACCTTTCCATTACTGAGAATATCTTAATTCAGCTCTGAGCAGTAGTCTGTCCCTTTGAACAACCTCTTCATTAATGAGGTTATCTTAATTTCGCTCTGAGCGGTAGCCTGTCCCTTCAACTTATGTATGCAATCTAGAAGATCCGAGAATACAAACTGCAAGACAAAAAGCCCATAAAGGTCACCTGGATGGTGGTTCCATTCATGGCAGTGAAGACATCCCCCGGCTTGGTTGCCCTGCCGCTGGGCAGGTTTTCACAGAGCGGGGCGAGACCTGTGGCAAGGGGCCATCATTCAGATATGGCTGTGCACTACTTGATCATACATGCAGCGGTAAACTAATGGTCATTAAAGCAGTGCGCAGGAGAACCGGACCACATAATGCCATAAACTAACAACACGTATTTTTTGTATTCTGCTGAAAAAAAAAAGGACTGGTGCTTATTACTCATTATAACTCTGAGACGCTTCAAAAGCTGATCCCACACTGCATACATAGACGTGCACCACCTCATAAGGAAAATGAGTAAGAGAGATCACAAGCAAAAAAGATAATGGCCAATGAGAGTTCATGGCAAATGTGACTCGGTGTTAGAGCCAGCACTTGGACTAGTGGACTTGTCAGTTGCAACCTTGACAGAAACAAGTCCACTTGTCGAAATGTCAGCTCCAACACCCAGTCCGTGTTTACGAATTTCTTATCGCGAGCTTCTATCTTCCTTTTCTCCGTCTTTCTTTTGAATAAATAGCATAACAAAACTCGGGAATAGTGCTTATAAGGGGCAAGTCAAACGGGAGTGTATATAAGAAGGGTGACTGATTTATAAAAACATTTTTTTTCTTCCTGAGTAGATCTTTATGATACTTCTACAGCTTACGCATATGTACACCAGACTCGTTAAATGAAACCTGAAGGAACCATGAAAATGTGTTCCACTTAAGAGGAGTTCCATTTACTGAGAGATGAAAAAGGGTGGAGACTCTTAAGTAAGAAACAAAATATAGTAGAAGTAGTTGTTCCATTTAGACAGCAGTTCCAATCAACAGATTTCCATATAGCGAGAGTCTACTGTGTGTGTCCTGATTTCAAATATAGTAACCATTTTTTTTCGAATACAATATGTAGTTTCTAATCTATCAAACAATTCATGTGCCTTGCCTGAAGCCAGTTTTTCTTTAAACTGTCAGAGTTAATGATGTGTGCAGTGTAGATGCTAAGAGCTTAACTGGCGCAGAAGAACTCAGCCAGAAGCCATTGTCACCATTATCGAACGTCGTCTGCCTTTTCTTTTTTGCCATCAATGGCTGGCTGCGTTTATATTATTTTGAACATGCAATAAAACAAGAATAAGTATTCCAAGCACATTTGAATAACAGATTTGTACTTTAACAAGTGAAATCCCAGCATTACATGAATTAACTCACAGATGTTCAGCATATTATAATTTATGCCCGAATAGGTTTTGAACATTCCTTTTTGTCTTGTTACATGCACTATTCACTCCAGATTATTGTGCCATGTTGACTTGCTTAGTAACTCCCACACTGCAAACAAAATTTTTGCTCCTAACAATACAAAAACTATTCAATATATAAAAAACTGCACACATTGCACTACAAAAGCAACTGCATCAGCACAGCTAGATAACTGGAAGTTTCATGAACATCTGCTCACGAACAAAAAAAAAGTACATGCATATCACCGGGGTCTCCTGTTTATTAAAAAAGATTTTCTTTACATGTCCGAACAAAAGGAGACGGAGCCTAGAAAGAAACAGTCAAAGTAAGAGATTCAGCAATCTGTGAGGCAGACTGATGTGGAATGCACACAATTTACCTCCTCGATGTTCTACTACGCTGCCTATGTGAAGCTAATAGGTGAATGTTGATTTATTTAACCTTGATACTATGTCTTTTAGAACAGCAATAAAGAATCCTAAGCAGTAAATCAGAAATACAGTGGAACTTCAATTACTCGACTTTCAGAGGACCCTACAAATATGTCGTATAACGCAATTGTCGTACCGTATTCACTCGCATAATTCTCGCACGCCCCACATCGCCCAACAAAAATACGAGTTCTTTTTTTCCTCGAGTAATTATTGCACCCCTGAAAACTGCCGCAACAATGTCGTCTGCTTGTTCCAAACACCGATGATAATAGAGTGCACCATCTGGCACCATCTCTTAAGCATCAAGCGTACTATTATTGCACGGAGATTCAATCCAATTCAAACCAAGCCAAAGAGGCAAGTGCGCGCTGCGGCATGTTTTGTATGTTGTATTGGTAATCTTGTGACGTTATGGGGTGATACTGAAGCTACACAGATGCTTTCAAGTTGAAAGTGAGTGATCATGCACTAAATAATGGCAACAGGGCCGCTGGTAGGCCCTTCGGAGTCTACGAGTCTTGTGCTCGCTACTGGTGACGGCAGCTGAAAGCCACCAAGACGCGTTGGGCCTGCCGTGTGCCTAAAACTAGGATTAATGGTGAACTTTATTTTTTCAGAAGGAAACTGCCGACAATTCTGTTAAATAGCTATCAGCCCAATACTGACGTCCCATGTTTACCTTCTGAGGGCTCCTGCTGAGCGACGAACGCTTCCGCTACGCTTGCAATTCTCGATTACTTGCTTGCACTGTTTGTGTCTCAAATAAATCTTGCCTTGTGTTGAACCTGTGCTTTTACTGTTGTGGTAAGTTTTAATTAGTAGTACTTCTCAAAGCTTGCTGTTAGTTGCTGGTGTGAGAATCCCGATTTGAGGCCACTTCATTTTCTTTTTTACTTTGTACGTTTTTGTGGAAAGTTCCCCCCGTAATTCTCACACCCCCTCAACTTTGCATCGATTTTCCGCCAAAAAAATTACGGGGATTATGCGAGTAAATACTGATTAATCAAAAAACTAAAATTCTACGCCATGACACTTAGCCTTTTACAAAAAAACAGTTACAATGTGCCTGAGTAAGCCCACGGCAAGAGCATGACCTTGTGTTTATGCAATGAAGGTAGATTAAGTTATTCTTGCCAGTGGCAGCTGATGGCCACATTACTTAGTTGAAGAAGGTGCAAACGATTCTTGATTCTCAACCTTCAAAAAAAACTGAATCCAATACACATCTTTCTATCGATAAAGCCTGAAAATTGTCTGCGCATAAAAGCGGAACCGAAACCACATTGCCAACAGCCTTCTGTCAGAAGAGTTAGACACAGTGTCATCGCTATCAAATAAAGGCGACGAACCATGAGTTTGCATAGAATGCGGTATAAAATGTGTTCATGCGTGACTGATCTGTGCAGATTGTAATTTAATTGTTGCCTTGTGAAGTGCAACTAGTGGTGTCCTGCTCTTATCGAGAACATTCACGTCAAGTGAAAGTAATTTTGCATGACGAAAACAGCTGCGTCGCGCTCTTATGTGTGCGCAAGCCTGTGACTGTGAGTGCGACAAAGGCAGGAGGTCACCAGTATGTCGACCAAGAAGTTTCAACTCACCGAAAATGTAAAAATATCAGTTTTTCGGCAGGCTGAAGCTACACTGTGTGGATAGAGCTTGACCGGGTAATGACCGCGGATACGTACGCACGTGATCGAGGTGTACGTAGAAGCGCATGAACTTCCAGAAGAATCAATTTTCTATCCTGTCTCACTCTCTGTTTTTCCAATCATCAGCCTAGGAAAACGCAAGTTCATATTTTGCACTCATGAATAGTTGGTTGACATTTGATTTGAGTAAAGGTGTTTTCTTTTTTTGAGCCGAATCTGAAAGATACAGAGTCAGTGTGAAACTGCATGGTATAACCAAGGCTTTTAATACATATTTGTATGGAGATATTCCCGGGACCGAACCGATTCATGGTAAAATGCAGGTCGTCACGAATCCGCAGGATGTACAATTGAGGTTGCGCTGTAAAAGCAAAAAGTAATGCAAAGAAAGTGCCCTTACACCAGCCAATATGCAGAAAGTTGTTTGCTATTTGTAGCGGGGGGCGTAGGCCATGTGCAGGCGTAGGTTACACGCAAGAAAATACAGTATTCAGACTACCACTGGAGTACAATGAGCGGCAAATACCGCAAACAAACCTGCAAAGAGTTCACTAAAGTGGCTAGACACCAACTGAAAACAAAGTGCCAGAGTTGCGATTCCATAGTCATAAGCTGAAAACGCATTGTCTCGTATTACATAATTGTCTTTTTTAATTTTCCACTGTATCAGCCGTGTACCTTGAAAGCTTAGTCATAATCAATGATCGCAACGATAGCTACGACAGTTTGCTGGTCGGCAGTTGTCACAAATAGTATCTCTGTTTTCAAGCTTTGCATGCTGGCTCTAGGCTGGCGGCACGAAAGTCTACAGAGCTGCGTCGTTGAGATGTATAACTGCGTCTAATGCACTTTCATTTGCAGGGATTGAGGGAAGGAGCACGGCTGTTACACTTGGTGTGTGTGGGATGCTGACATACTTCGGGAGTTTTGTGATCACTCATTATTTGTGTCCACACAACTTTTCACAACAGTTTTGGCAGAATTCAGTTGCACTTGGAAAATGCGTGTTCTGGCCACCAGTGAAGCTTTGAAGTTTCACGGCAGCCATACATGATTCCGTAACCAGAGACGACGAGCAATAGTTTAGTTTTGGGTTCTCTGTGAGAAATATGACCGGAGTTTTTGAAGAACGATTCTGCCAAGATTAGTATACGCATTAAATCCACCGACTATGATGATCTGTCATCGAGCATTTATGGTTAAAATTTTTCGGGATGCAGTGCAGATACTTTCTGGGCCAGAAGTGATGAAATGATGGATTCATCAATAGGACAGAATGTGACGGTGTCCAGAAATGGTCCACAGTAGAAACATTGGTCTGAAGTGTGCTTTCCCTTGGCATTATGTAATGTTTTCCTTGAGACCAGGCACGAAAGGCCACACTCACCAACCATCTTGACGGGCAGCTTGAGAGCTGCCACTGCGGCAAACGTGGCAACAACACAGGCAGCACCGGTCATGTCCGCTTTCATGCGGTCCATGTTGGCAGATGGCTTCAGGGAGATGCCACCGCTGTCACCCCACGACAGGAACAAAGAAATAAAATGTAACTTCATTACCACCCTTATGTGATGTACATATAATTGCACCTGGTGAAGTATTAGAATAGCTAGAGCTGTACTAATAGCAAAATTTCAGGTGCCAAGTGAATTCGAATTTTGAGTGTGAGTACAAAGCGAACCGAATACTTTTAGAATATTTCTAGAGTATATTTCTAATATTTTGAAGCGCAATTACTAAAAAAAAAAGCTTGGGAAAAGATTCCTAAGGATATGCAAATGAAAAAGCAACATAAAAGTGTTTCTTGAGGCTAGGTTGACGAAGCAGTGGGAGTATGATTTTGTATAGTTCTCTTATAAGAAATAAGGCAATGCAGAGTCAGAATTGCAATTATGTACATGACTTCATGCAACCGAAGTGTTGGTGACAATAATTTACATGTGAAAGGCAAAGATGCTACAGTTAAACCTAGATAAACTAACAAAATTGACAATTTCCCAGAAAAACTTGTTATAAAGAGGATTTCGTTATATACAGGTTTGGTACAAAAAATTCTAAAGATAAAGCTAAACCTCTTTATAGCAAACCTCCATAAATCAAATTCCTCGATATAACAAAGTTTTTTTTATTCCCCACCGTCGCCCCATAGAAGCACACGTATTTGCGACCCCTATGTAATGAAGTAACAGCGGGAGACAACCTTGATCTAACCAATATTCCCCATGGACAATCAGGAATTTCACTCCACATTTTGGCATTTTGGTACGAGCATGCATCTTCGTCAGCTACGCCACTGCCGACGAAGCGCGAAGCGGCGGCGGCGGGCACGCATTCCCCTGAGGCAGGCCTGCATCCCACAGCCAGCGTTGCCACCGTTCTCACCACCGCGGTCGCATGCACGGGTGTGCCCGCCCCTCCCTCCCTACTCTAAGGAAACAAAAAAAAACCTACTTTTGCGCATTGGCAGTGACACGCTTTTAGTTAGCGTCACATATGTGAGGCCGCGCTGCATATGGAGGGCGCTTTACCGAATAGTTTTCCGTGGTATCCATGTCCGTGTCGTTCACTCTTCGTTTTCAACATTGTGCGCGCGTGCATAGTTTCACTGCACGCGCAGATGTGGCCCCCGACGACGTTCAGCTTTGCTTTTGTTTATTGCAATAGAAATTATGTGTATGGACAGTTTCGGTTCGTTTTTTGCAGCCACCGCCATCATTCCTAGTATATGTGTACATATATAAATATATGAAAACTCCAGAAAAAAAAAAAACACACACCAGCGCTCGGCGCCCAGCTCATCACGATGCGCCGAGCGCGCTTATCTGCCCAGCGTACTTGGCCCTGCGAATGGAGGGGGGGGGGGGGGTAGATGCTTGTGGGTGTGCACTTATCCTTCGATTGGGAGAATGGCGTGCCTACGACAGTGATCGGAGCGATTGCATTTAGGTGCTCAATGCAAAAAGATCACTTCACTCGCTGAAAAGATGCTGTTTGCGATAAGAGTGCACTTTTCAAACACAGAGAAGTAACAGCTGATGCACTTGTTAGTTTTGATTGATTGATATGTGGGGTTTTATGTCCCAAAAACCACCATATGATTATGAGAGACGCCGTAGTGGAGATCTCCACAAATTTCGACCACCTAGGGTTCTTTAACGTGCATCCAAATCTGAGCACACGGGCCTACAACATTTCCACCTCCATCGAAAATGCAGCCACCGCAGCCACGATTCAATCCCGCGACCTGCGGGTCAGCAGCTGAGAACCTTAGCCACTAGACCACCATGGTGGGGTCACTTGTTAGTTTTCACTCATTAATGTACCTGTGATTATGTTTTGTGCCTTAATTTCGTTTAAACAGCGCGTGAAGTGTCGAGCAGTAAGCGTTGTTAGTTCGCTCTCGTCTTAGCTGTGTATGTTGTTTTCGTGCACCATTTGTGCACGAAAGTTTCGATCAGCTTGCCGTTCTCAGCATTACATTCCAAGTTGTTGTTATCGCATTCATTGCTTTGCCATTGTGGCAAAACTGTGACTTTTCTTGATTTTGGACAACCGTGTTATCACAAACATTGTCAGATTATGCGCTAATGAAAACTCTCTGAGACCACGACGACGACAAATCTTCGAAGGTCGACTCGTTACGCGCTTCCGTCTTGCACCATGCCATGAGTACGCAGGCTGATAGCTTTCACGATTAGCGCATTAGCTCTGGCAACAACACTACAGCGCGTTAATTGCAATGCAATAAATGCAATAGCAAAAAAATTATAATGGTATAAGAAGTAAGGCTGGCAGCCAACTATTTTGGATCCGAATTTCCGGAACTCCTACGAAATGCTGGTATGAGCAAATACGGCCGCTCCAGGGAGACGTGTTCTTTTCACACAGTCCTTTCACATTGAAACCGCACTGATGCTCACCGAGATAGCAAGTGCGCCTGCACTGCGACTGCCCTTGAAATCCAAGTTCATTATTGCTACTAGATCGACCCCCCCCCCCCCCTACCAGCGTCATTTCATGCTCGTTCAAGAAAGGTGGTTTACTTTCTGTTTGAGCATTCGATGGCAGTTCTAACATGCGGGAGATGTTATGCACTTTCCAGGCGATAAGGATGGGCCGCCTTTCACTTTCCAAGCGGGTAAAAGTGCTCGCGCGCTTTTACCTGCTCGTGAAAGTTACGATGCGCGGGGGAAATGTTATCTGTTTGGACTTGTTATGAAGCATAGCGGCGACGGCAAAAACCTGACGAGAGTGTCGATATAATTGGTATCACAATAATAAGCAAGTTCTTAGTGTAAAGTGTGTGTTTTGGGTTAGCTCTGCCTTTAGTCCCCCTCTTGTTTAGTTTGCGCATTTATTTTTCGATTGTTCGTACCGAACCAGCATATAAAGAAATCCTCTTTATAACGAATTTTCCCTTGGATTTCTCGATTTCATTATATCCACGTTTAACTGTATTGCAAAACCAAACCAAACAAAATTTAATAAAGATGCAACACAACAAAAAAGCACCATTTCTCAGCAGGAGATAATTCAAAAGCTCATTTGGTTGCCAACTTTCTCAAAAATACCCCTGGTCCATAGGTTTAATGTAAAAATATTTCACTACTCCGAATTCCAGAATACTGAATGTTCCAAAATAACATGTCAAGTTTTATAGGTATCCACATTGGTTCAAAGTAACTACTAGTGATATTAAAGTTACTCGTGGCTGTAAAAACAGTGCCCAGCTCTGTATCTGCCACCATCATCATCACTGTCATCATCATAACTCCCGTGCATTTCTCTATGCACCTACCCATTCTATTGCGCGATAGCAGCATTGCCATCACCGTCACCTGCACGTGATTTTCACGTTATGTTTCGCCGCATAGCTTTTGTTTCGTAAGGCAGCTTTATCTGAACGCTTGTTACATGGCTGTTTTCTTGCCGTTGAATTGATGATTGTCTGTTCATGATGAGCTCTGAAATACGCATGAAAGGAATGCGAAGACCGCAAAACGCGACGCGAGTACATAGGAGATGAAGTTGGAATGATTACCCTTGCATACTTCACTAACGTTTGAACACTATGCACAGTGCGAAACAGAAGAATGAATATTAGCTTAACTGGCTAACAAGATCTATACTATTTGTCGTGATAACGAAATGGTGACGAGTTGAAGACCTAGTCAGTATGAGGCAACAATTACCAGCACGTTGTGTGTAGCGAAATTAATGTGGCTGATGCTGAGCGCTTAGCCAGTTCCTAACCCGTCAACTAGCGAGGCTGATCGGTTCACGAGCGAAGCTGTCAAGGTCACCCCCTTCGGGACTTGAGGGGGAAGGCTTACTCAGAAGAGCGTCTCGCAAGAAGCAGGTCAGGCGCTACCGTCCGGGTTTAAGCCATGGTTGGCATGCACGCATGCCATTGAAAATGACGCTGGGACGCCACAACTTGGCTGACCGAGACATAGTGGTAGCAGGGGGAAGAGCATTAGCTCCTCCGCGGTACGTCATTACCGAGTGTTGTTAGGATGTCGGGGCACCTCGCTGTCGCATGCACACCTGGTAAGCCCACAGAGCCCAACGGTGTACTCACCGTTCTTAAGAAGGCTTCTACGAAGCAACATTTAATGATAGAGTTGACAGGGCTTGAGCGTGAGAATGGCCGCTGACAGAAGTCGGCCGATGGAGGCAGCACGGCCTGGCATGGGAGAGAGTGTCACACGCGGAGAGCCTATCCCTTTGCGTGTTGTATTTGGTAACTTGGTTTTTACCAATGTAGTGCCTGTTATGAAAGTGCTTCTGCGATTGGTTGTGATGATGCGAGTCCCAACATGTGATTGTTTTGTGTGAAGACGCTTTGTTCAACTGAGTGTTGAAAAGAGTATGTTTGAATCTGAAATGGAAGCACGGATGTTCGGGCTTGGACTCGGGCAGGCGCCTGACGCAGCAATAAAGCGTCTCTTCACCGAACAACGGCTCTTCCTTCGCGCTTCCATCGTGCACTTGAATCATCGAGGGGACCCATTCTGAACCTCAAACATTTTCCCTCCTTAGCTAGTGTTGAAGCTAGTCGAGGAGGAGGAAATTAACTGGCGCAGTCGACGTGGAGTGGAGAGCCCGCAGCGAAGAAGGTGGTGAAGTCCAGGAAGCTGACAAGACGCTCACCGCCTTTGGCACCTGCTGGTGTGCTGCGAGAAGTAGCGTCAAGACGCTCGCTGGTTTGGGACCTGTCGGCGCATGGCGAGAAGCAGCATTGTAATTCAGCATGAGCCTGCTGGTCCAGGTTGGAGTTAGGAGTTGGGCAGCGGAAGAGCGTTGCGCAACAGCAAACGCGAGCCGAGCAGCGGGACAGTCGGCGCGGCAGACTTCGAACAATGACAAGGGTGGTCCGATCGAGCATCAAAGGATTCAACACTACCAGTGTTGGCAATGAGATGGACGCTGTTCCAATCAATGCGGCCATCAGGCGATGCATGACTGCAAGGTGAGGCCTGTTTTGTGTACTCTCGGGGCCCCTAAATTTT